GGAAAACAGAGAATATTCTAGTTTTATGGTTTCCAACATAAACCAGATTTTTCCTAAAATATCTAAAGCCTAGAGTCAGAAATTCTCTGACAATGACACTGAACTTCCAATACAAATATTTTTGTTTAGAAAGATAATGAGATAATTCCTGGCATAAGCAATCTTGGACACATATAAGTTATCAAGAAGTGATACACATCCTTAATCTAAAAGCTGATCTATAAACATGTTCAATACATTAAAGTGCAGAAGGAACCTACATGTATTACAGAATTCAACTGAAACTGCAGATACCCAGCAAGAGGCAGAAACCAAGGGCTGTCCCAAGAGAGCAGCCAAGGACACTGCAGGCATTTCATTCACACTCCTGTTGGACACCAAAATTTAGGATAAAGTGCTTGTTTTCACATGCCAGTTTTTCCTCACGATCTCCCTATGGCAAATAGCAGCAAAAGGACCTAACCATGTGGAGAAGGAAAGGGTATGGAACATTCCCACTTCTTCCCCAGATGCAGTATGAGGCCAGCACGTCAGCAATCCACAGAAGTTCCTTTATATTGTCAGAATCTTCCATAAATGTGAACTGACCAGTTCCTGGATGCAGAAGGAAAACTAAGTCAGGTTCCTTTAGTCTTGCTGATTAGCCTAATGCTTAGTATTTCCATGTTTGAGGGACAACGGTGAAAGAAAGGTTTAAATCCATTTTCCTAACATGCTTTTTCCATATTTGATCAATATATTCTTAAACCAAATTTTGCTAGTATTTCCATCTGAAAAGAGCACAAATGACAAAACACAAATCCTTGTTTACCAACCCTGATGACAAAAAATTGCATCTGAGCACCTACACTGCAAAGCATGAAGCTCCTTAACCAGAAAGGCAGAGCAAGAGGGAACTTTCTGCAGTGCCACAGAGCACAGACACTCGCTGCAAGCCCTCCAATCACACCCACGAGGCGGCAGCAGGACCTTGCAGCCGGGAACACCGACTCGCAGGAGGGAAGGCAGAACAAACCTGCAGTTCCTCTAAAGCCACTCCATGTGCAACATTTACTTTTGCACTTTGGGCTTTGAAACTTTCTGCATCAGCTGTGATTTCTTGTTTGACTGAATCACTGATCTGTGTATTCAAAGCTGTTGTCATCCAAAATACTTTGTGTGTGAAAAGATAACACTAGGAGTGCAGAAGTTCTGCTGAAGTGGCCTGAATTGATACCTTCAGGTACCACTAACCTGTTAGGTGTGAAGCTGCATCCTCTTTTTAATGTTAAAACTTTGTGCAATCATACAGAAAACAGGAATGATTTGAGTAAACAGAGTTGCTTGGATTGTATTTTGTTCCAGGAAGGTGCTATTCGTAATAAACAAAGCAACTTAAACACTGACTTGAATATTAACTAATTTCTGCAGTTTTATTTCTGCGTAACATAAATGAGCAAGTAAAGCCCAAGAAGGCATTTTCACTTCCTGGCAATTACATAAGGTCATATTCATACAACAAACATCAGCAGTTACAGGGCAATTAGTGGAATGTTTTTATCAAAACATACAGATAGCACCAACAGCACAATGTAACACTGAAGTGCAGACTAATGAAACCATCTCTCCCTATTCCTGCCATGGCTGTAAAGAATATACAGCCAA